TAAACGTCACTTTATTTAAATAACCAAGCGAACCGTCTTTCCCTACATAGATATATATGTATACATAAATGATCAGAATGAAAAGAGCAGTTGATTAAGCCATGTCTGTCTGTCCGTTCGTCCGTCCGTGTACACGATAACTCAGCCAAAAATTGAGATATCTCAACGAACTTTACCCAACGTAGGTTTGTATTGAAAATGGGCGAAATCGCACTGTAACCACGCCCACTTCCCATATAACGGTATTTTCGAAAAATGCAAAACTACGATATTTCAGTAAATATTCAATCAAAACTGTTGAAAATTTGTACGTGAAGTGGAATTATGGTAAGAAATAATATTATTGGAACGTATTCTTGTTTACGTATGAATCGAAAATTTGAAATTTTTTTTTCATGATTTTCGATTCGTACGAAAACAAGAATTTTCCCCATTATAAAATTTTTGGAAAATGGGCATGACCCCGCCCGCTTATGATGAAATGCTCTATCTCAGTAGCCGCTACACCAATCCCTACCAAACTCGGTCCGAGCCTTGCTTAGGGCCCAGCTAAAAAATCTGCTGAAAATCTTTGAAATTGGGCTATAACCACGCCCACCTCTCATATAACGGCAGTTTACAGAAATAGGAAAACTTCGATAAATCAGTAATTATTGAAGCTAATTCACTCAAAATCTACGATTGCATAATCGCTTAGCAGAAAATTAGATTAATATAAATTTCTGGATAATGGGCGTGTCGCCGCCCACTTATGATCACAAATGTGTATTTCGAAAACCGATTCATCAAATTCAGCCGAAATGGGTGCACCTTATATCCTTGGTACGGAAAAGCAATTTGTTGAAAATTATTCAAATCGGACTAAACTTCCCGTATAACGGTAAATTTCCAAAATACAAAAACTCCGATATTTAAAAAACTGAGGACACTAATTTACTCCAAGTTAATACTTTCAACAGTCTCTTAACAATAAATAAGACTGTTATAGACTTTTAGAAAGTGGACGTGGCACCGCCCACTTTAATACTCCAAAGGTCTATCTTGGTAACCGCTTTTTAGATTTCTATCAAACTTGGTCCAATGATTTCATTAAGTCAGCATATTATTGAAAACGTTTGAAGTCGGAATAAACACCGCTGATTATCATGCAAAGGTAGTTGAGAGAAAGTTGAAACGATGATATTTGATACCTGCGCCGCGTATATAAAATCAAATAAAACACCTCTTTGAGGTAAAATTTTCGAGTGACGAAGGCTGAACTAGAAACACAAAATGTATGATATCAATTCCGTGACGAAAATTATACGCATTTTTTAAATGCCTTGGAAAAGTACGCCCGCGGGCGTTATTTCACCTTTATTGTGGCTCTTGTCTCCATTTTAGAATATGTACATCCAAAACCTCCAGTTCTAAATAAAAACTAACTAATATGATAACGTTAAACTAAATATTTGTTTTGCTTTATTATACGAACAAATTGACATTAAAAATTTCAATGCATATTTTTAATACATATGTATGTTTGTATGTACATGCGTATAAAAATTTAATAATGCAAATTTTCAACAAAAAAAAACGAACATGAATAAGTAAAAAGTTAAAATTGGACACAAAATGCTTGTATCACCATTTAGATTAGAACGCCTACTGTGGTCTGCAAAGCAATCTGTGCAAAGTTTAAAATGATTGGCCGAGTTTCTCCTCCGATTGGCGGGCGGTGTGTGCCTTAATATCACACAAACCACTCGACCCCTTTACTAATTTTTGTTGTTTGCGAAAATTTTCAGTCGCCTTCTCAGTATAAACAAATAAATTTTCCGGCGTAATGGCGAGGGGGGCAGGGGGGGAAGCGATCCTTTTGGCGCTCAACCGTGGCGGTCCGCGTTGGCGCCATCCGACGTCGCGACGCAGCGCGGCGCTCGTGCCGCGGCCATCCGCGTTTGCCCACCACCACTGAAATACCTAAGACGTTGAGAACAAATATGCGCATCGCATTGAAGGCTAAAAAAAAACGGTAACAATTTACCTTTAATTTACATTACTTCCCTTATCAGTTACTGGAAAAAACACCGTTCCATTTTATGCGTATACTGCAGAAGGCAATTTAACGCAAAATAGAGAGCAACTCGTTAAAAATACGTGGCATTTTATGCAAATTTATGTCTGTATACATAATTGGAATGTTTCAGTAAAATAAAGCCAGAGAAAATACTACTCACGGGCTTTATTTCCTTCTTTATGCAATAAATCAAGCAGGCGTTATTTCCTTTTCTTTGGGAAATAAAGCCCGCAGCCAATATTGCTCTTTCGCAAAGGAAATAAAGCCCGCGGGATTTATTGCCTTTTATTGGTGGGCGCTATTTCCCCTTTGAAATGGAAATAACGCCCATGGGCTTTATTTTTCTTTTTTTTGGGAAATAAAGCCCATGGGCGTTATATCCGGGGGCCTTATTGCACTCCTTTGATCTTAACCATATACCGGGCAAACTATACTGGCAAAGAAGGAAGAATTTGAGCTGCTGCACCATCACAAACTGACAGATTCCAAACCCAAAACATACTCAGTACTATGTACATAATATACGTAGAGAACAACCTACACCTGAAGGCCTCTAAAGTCCGACATAGGATGTTCCTTCAACAACTTAGTGAGCAACTGGCGATACCTGAAATAGAAGTGAGAGCTACTAATAGTCGAATAACCAGAATATTCTCTACACGCAACGTCTTTGAAGCAATAAACGGCGGTCCTTTGAGGATAATGAATGTTGTGGTAGGAGACAAGGAAGAACGTGACATTACGGTCAGAATAAAAACAAAGGGTAGTTGTTCATATCCTCCCAATAACGAAAACGTGCATTTGTTTTACTTATAAGTAAATATTGTCGATGTTTCTGCAAAACCGCCCATCAACTAATTGACAACCCACCTATATACGGCACTCAAATTTTACAGAAGAGCGACAAAACGGGTTTTCTTTGAATGCCTTGCCTTGATAGCCGGTATTTTCTCTAGCTATTATTTTACAAATCTTTTGTTTTAATAACGATTTTTATGCATAACTCTCAATGCCTGCAGCTCAGGGTTACTAAATCTCATTTTTCCACAACGGCGAATACCCCCGGGCCCGGGCTTTTTAACTTCTTATCATTTTACAATGTTGTTGCTCCTTCATTATAGGCTTATATTATAAATATATTCCGATTCGTGCTGATTATTTCGGACTCTACACATTAAAGGAAATGACCACATGCTTTTAAATTAATACAATTTATATATAGGGGCCCATGATTTTACAGTCCGGGGCCCGAGTTTTCTCTCGACGGCCCTGTATATAATCGTCGTACGTATTCACCTGCAGACAAGCACTTTAGCTTCGCAGGTCGTGTTTAATTCATAAGTTGAATTGTAATGATTTAAATCAAAATATTAAAGCTTCATTATGTACTTACTTGGCACTCCTGAAACTAATCGCAAAGGACGTAGAACTCTGAAAGCTCGAAGCGCTTTCACATCGAATCCTTCCTTCATCAGATTTGACAGCACGGTACTTATCATTCTGTGAATGTAGAAATGTTAAAATAGTTCGATTTTTAAAAAATATTCCTCGTTTAATGTAAAACTCAAAATGCAATTAATTTTCATTTGCCTAAATTCTTATAAAACATGCAAACTTGAATAGTATGTAATTCCTAAAATCAGCTAACAATAAATCTCGCGTTTTATAAACTCATGTATTGTAGGTGATTCACAAGGTGTCGTTAAATATATGTTTAGATGACTTGAAAGTGTGTACGACATACAATAATACGACACCTTTTAGATGTATGTAATATTTAATTTTTTATAACGAAAATTATATTTTGGTTCTAGGTTATGTATTTAATTTTTCTTTTGAATTCGACTAAGGGCCAAATTCACAGTGCGTAGTTAAATCAGAATCCGCAGTTAACTACAGATTTTCAGCTCTGAGTTAACTACGCACTGTGATTTTGGCCCTTAGGAGAAGACTACACGTTTGGAGATAAGTAAATGCAGTATCGAGTGCTGAACACATTGAAAACGAGCTATGGACCACAGCTTTATCATCTTCATTTTCTAAACGCTTGGTCGACGGCGACATGATTTTTTTTAACGCGGCAGCGACATCACCAATTTGTATGAGTTTGACACATGATTCAATTATTAAAGGTTAGATAACTGACAGTTGTCTCTCTCGCACCGCTCTCTTAGCAGTGGCACGGTGTTGCTTCTTTGCAATTTATTTAAAAAGTGTAGCTTTTGTGTGAAATAGAAATACATATACGTTTTTGTGCAATATGTTTATTTGTATATGCATATAAAGCACATTTAACTGATGGAAACATAAATTGCTTTTAACTTCGATGTTTACATACAACTTATAGTTGTTTTATTCTGAGTTAGATCCCTTTTGCAGTTTTTTATACCGCTAAATAGGACATGAATTACATAATTCATGTATATATCATAATATTTAATTCAATATTTCGTTTAAAATGCCAAATTTCCTGGAATTTCACTACTAATGTGTACTTTTCTAGTACAATTTTCGAACCAGGGGATTTCATTCTTCCCCCTTTCTCTGCCCTTCGTAAATGCAACCTTTTGTAAGGGAATGTCAAACCGCGGCTGTCAATAATTATCTAACCTTTAATTATTAAATCATGAGTTTGACATAAAAGAAGAGGAAGAACCTTATCTGTCGCTGGAAAAATAGAAACAGATCTAATCTGGCCACGACCACAGTCGTCGCGAAGCCCTGTCGTCGCCAAAATAATTATCTACATAAGAATACATACGTAGCTTATCGTTTTCATTTAGTTTGTTCCAGTACTCTTCGGAAATGTCAAAGTACAATTTTACTCTCTCAACTGAGAGTAACAGGAGAACAGATGCAGAAGTGTACGGGAATGCAAAAAGCACTTTTTCCAGCAAAAACGTCATTTGTGTTTACTTGTCATTAGTACAAGACTGATTTGGCTGAAATATCACTAAATAATGATTAAAATCTATACAATTAATAATAATTGCATATATATTCGAATATTTCATTATTTCCTTCCATTTTTTAACAAATGTAAGGTTATTTGCTTTCACCGCGTTCAGTTTTTGCACACAAATGCAACTCTACCTATGGTTTGACACTTTTCATGAATTTGCTGGAAGAAAAACTCCGGACTAAATCTTGAAACTTCATTTTGGGAACAGTTGCTCAGTTACTCTCACGAGAGTGTTCCCAGATACAGATTTTTTGGCGGACGGGAACGACTTTGGACTAAATCCTGCAAAACCTGCAAATCGTAGACGTGCTTGAACGCACTAATTGTGTTCGGGCTATCAACCGCTTCAGTTTGTAGCTTCTCTAAATTGTACATGTTGTTTATAAAGAATATTAAAACCATGTTTAGGGTATTTTGATTTGGCCACAGTGGTAATGAAATATTCAGTTCTAAGCGAACCGAAAACTGCGAAAGTGCTGAAATTTCTTGTTACAATAATAAAATAAAATATTTCGATAAATATGTACCTGTATGTACATAGTTTAGGGCTGCCAGACGTCCTGGTTTTCCAGGATTTGTCCTGATTTAGACAAATTGTCCTGGTGTCCTGATCCACACTTAAATTGTCCTGGTTTTTAAATGAAGGTCAATGCAGACATCCTAATTTCTAGCAGATTTTTGCTTAAAAAAAAGGTTAAGCTTTCTGTCATAAGTAGTCGAAAATCAATAACGAAACGTTTTTTTTAACCTGTTCAATAATATCTGGTGAGTTTACCTTCTTTCTGTTTAGTTTATTTGGTTAAAATCTAAATTTTTATCTTCAGGCAATGCCAAAAAAAAAATACAAGTTCCTGAACATGGCTGAGGGGGTCACAGAAACCACACAGTAGATAATTTCAGGAGTTAAAATCTCTTCCAAAAGGCATTTCTGAAAGTCATTCCTTTTTTTATGGAGTGGCACAAATTGAAGGGCTTCTGGTTTCGCTACTCAAAGAAAAGCTTTTTGAAGGGCTTTTGTAGGCCTTTTGAATAAGTTTTTAAAGCTGTGTTTTAATTCATAAAGATCATACTTCTTTAAGGAATTTATTTAAGGTTCATATCAAATATGTTTTATTGAAACTTTCAATTAATGCTAAACTGAGGAAAAATTCAATAATTGTGATTTTTGGTTAATATTAACAATGCCATGGTTGATATTCTCAACAATGATTTGGTAATATTAACCTCACTTTTATTTACTTTAAACAAAATTTTGATTGCCGATTTTTTCGTTTGTATGTTCTGCACTTCACAGAGGCTTTTTCATAATTCATATTTCATATTTCATATTTATTTAAGAAATGAGGCTGTATCTGCGCTGCTTTTACGGATTCAGGAACTGAGTTCCAGAGCCTTACAGCATTAATGAAGAACAGCCTAGCTGAAGACAAGTGGGAATATTTGGGGACAATCAGACTTTGATTTCTATTAGTCCTTGTTGATTTTAATTTTTCAAAAAGGTATTTTGGAGTTTTGAATTCTATAAGCTTATACATAAATATACAATTTCTAGCCGCTAGGTATTCAAAAATGCTGCATCCTGAATTTTGTTTTTCCACATAGAAACGTGGTCATATCTTTTGAGGCCGTAAACGTAACGTGTAACGTTATTAAACGCAACATCAATTTTGTGAAACGAAATAGAGTCAAACTTGCTATACACTAGCCCACAGTACGTGATCTGCGGCACTATAAGCTGAATAGATAACTTTCTTCTTGTATCTAAGGGTGTAAACGACGCTGACATTCTTAATCTACGTAAAACAGCATACACGTTACTTACAACATTATTCACATGGTCAGAACAGCTCAACATAGAATTAACAACAAATCCTAAATTTCTTATCTTGTCAGACATGATCAGGACGCTATTACCAATAAACAGTTTGGGAATATCTTCCACATGTACTACACGTTTACTAATGGGCAACACATACGACTTTGCAGCATTTAAGCAAAGACAAAGGAGATACAAAAACAAATTTTATTTTTGCCTTTGACGGGATTTGCATCCAGATTATCTGAAATTTAGCATATAACATCTCTGCACACTCAGCCTTAGCCGTTCTGCAAATGTTCCATCAAATGTTGAACTTGAATAAATTTTCGTTGTTGTTTGATGGTGTTCTGCACTTCACAGATGCTTTTTCGTATATAAGAAAAACAAAAATAAAAAAAATTTCACGTTTCCTCTGACGGTGTTCGAACTCGAACCTGCTGTAAGCCAACAAATAAAACAGCAAGCATCTCTGCACGTTTAGCTACAGCCAAACACAAAAAATGTTCAACTTGAATCACATTTCTTACAATCGGATTATTTACCATGAAAAATAAAATAACTAATACATATTAAGGTTGAAAAAACTATTGTACCATTGGCTCAGTGTAAGTAATATATATACTAAGGTACATTCGCGTAAATTGTAAATAGAAACCCCTTTTGGCTTCACTTCAGACAGCCTACCTAAATTATCTTTAGGTTATGCATATACAAAATGGCAAAAATGATCATGAAATTTGCTAATGGTGGTAAGGCAAGCATTCAATATCACGTTAAAGGTGCCACACAGTTTTCACAGTTACGTCCCCGTCAAGAGAAATTTGTTATTTTATGGTTTAAACAAATTTCAGAACTTGAGCGTTTCATAATAATCGATCATTCAACTTTACGGATTGTGATCAGAAAAATAATGCAACGCCAAAACCGAAGAAACTGCACTTATAGGGAATACATTGGCGCCAGATTCACTTGTGTCTCTGTTTTTGATTTGGATGATAAGTGTCCTGGTCGATGTGTTCAGTATTATGGCAGCCCTAACGTAGTTATGTGCTGCTAAACATATTTTGCTTTTACATATACTGGTATACATAGCAAATAGTTATTAGTAGAGAGGTGCATCACTCGTCCAAGATTCGACAAGTAAGTAATTTTGCAATGACAAATTCAAACATAAAGCTAACTGGCGTATGTATGGATTTTAAAACTCGCATGCTTTTTCAAAATAATAAACAAAATTCGAATCAGATCCGAATGTTAACATTTTCAAAGTACTTACCCTATCACCACAATGAAAAAATCCAAAATGTTCCAGCCATTCCTCAAATATGAGCCACCATGCAATAAAAATCCGTATGCTATGATTTTCATAACGCATTCCGACGTAAATATTACTAAAAATACGTATTCTATTTTTTCCTAAAATAGTTATTAAATATTAATTTAAATGTGACTCAAGACTATTAAAACATAATTACTCTCATGAATACATACCAACGCTTGATTAGTCACATTGGAATCACTGAACGGATACGGAGTATAAACCGCTAAAGCAACACAGTTTGCAAAAATAGTTAATAGAATCAAATATTCGAATGGTCTGTTGTATAAAAAATCGGTTTTGTATGGTTAAGGAAAACATTTCAGTATATAAATATTTACATGTGTAGATATACAGTATATATATAACACGAAGCTAAGGGGTTGTTGATATTTAATGACCACGATTTTTACAACGCTTTTATAAACTTGCAATGTTGTGCGTCCAGACACCAGTTATAGCTATAAACACTTTGTTTGCAAAGATCCTATAAAAAAGTCTAGACATCAGCCTCGTCGCCTGGTATCATATCAAAACTGTAGAGGTGGATGTCGCCTCGCCGCAAGTAGTTATATATTATGCCTAAAAATATGCACTACATACGCTACAGCGGAAATGGACGACACGCCATTTCTTTAAATGAAATTAATTGGTGCTCGTATGTATGTACATACATATATTCACCAATCTATTAGGGCCGCTTGTTCAATGTCTGGTTATCTCTACTTCCCGGTTAAACATCGTTATCGACGTTAACGACACCGCGTTATATTTTAATATCTATTGCAAAAAAATAAAAGAAATAAAACAAAAACTTTTTAATACACCACGATTTTATAAATAGACTAAAAGAAGAAAATAATATTTCTCAGTCCCAGAAAATTTGTTTTGATAATTTTTGATTTTGAAATTTTAGTAAAAGTCATTATAAACAATACAAACAATTAGGGCGGGTTGCTCAAAGCCTGGTTGACACTAATCACCGGTTAACATCGTTATCGACGTTTTCGACTCCATACATATAATACGGTGTCGGTAACGTCGATAACGATGTTTTACCGGGGATTAGTATCAACCAGGCTTTGAGCGACCGGCCCTTAGATTTAATTGTCAATAGTCAAACTACGTAACATAGACCTACATTTGCGGCTATAATTCTTTCGACCACTGTATATCACGAATATTTTGTACTTTAATCCTCAGATGGCGAGTGAAAAATTACAAAAAAAACGGCGGTGGCGGCGTGGCTCAGTGGCGTAAACCTCTACTTCGAATCACTTGAAATTTTAGTATATTATTTTACTCGGAAAATAAGCGCATACGTATTTTTTTATTTGTCGATATCATCAAAAGTACGTGTTTCATGCATTTAAAAAAAAATGACTCAGAAATGGTAATTCTTAGGAACAAAAGTTTCATAGAGGTGAGGCAACCCAAATTTCAAGTTTTGGAGACCTGACAAAAATGCATTCACTTAATTACAATTTTCTTTGGATATAGTTGTCCAACCGCAACATTTTCATAAGCGTTTTTCTGAAGAATTTCCGCTGAATGCGAACATGTAATTAAAATTTAAAAGAGTGGTACAGTTTTTGAGACATAGCCGAATTTCGGGTTTTTGAGATCTGAAAAAAATGTTTGACATAATTGGCCAGCCGTGACATTTTGACATGCAGTTTTATAAAGAGTTTTCCGCTGAATACCAATACGAAGTCAGAATACAAGAAAGTACAACAGTTTTTGTGGTAGAGCCAAATTTTGTGTTTTTAGATCTGAAAAAAGGGCACTCACTTAATTGCAATTTTGTTTGGATATAGTTGGCCAATCTAAAATTTATTCTTGCATTAGTAAAGGCCATTAAATTTGCTATCATCTGCGTCAACAATATCATCCAACTGGATAAGAAATTTAGGAGTTACACATTGATTTATCGACAAGTTCGCATACCTTTTAACAAAAGTTGCTTATTTATTTGGACAATCTTGTGGACACAGAGGATAGAAAATTTAATAGCCTTTGCTGACATAAAAATAAATTTAAGATTGGCTAACTATGTCCCAAGAAAATTGTAATTAAGTGAGTGCACTTTTTTCAGATCTCAAAAACCCGAAATTCGACTATACTTATCTCAAAAACTGTTCTACTCTTTTACATTTGATTTCGTATTCACATTCAGTGGAAAAATTTACATTATAATGCATATAAAAATATCGCAGGTCGGAAAATTTTTTCATTTCGGTAAACTTGTGTGATACAATTGAAAAAATGTGTTTTCTGAATTTTTACTTCAGTGCCTTTGATTTCTAAATTTTCAATCCAATTTGGATTGGCTAGGGTTTATTTTCTTCCTAAAAGATCATACTTTGACGTACAATGAAGAAACCGGAAGTAAAAACGTTTTTTTAAGAAGTAATTTACAGAAAAACTGAATTTGTTTGTGAAATTTTGTAAACATGATAAAAACTTCTCGCGAAATTCATAAATGGCTCCTAAACCGACAGTTTGATTGAAAAGTGTTGCACGCACTGTTGGTGGGATATTTAATTACTTAATAAATTAATTGACTAAACGGAAATTTAGCTATATCTCGAAAACTGTTCAACTTTCTTAACCTTTGATTTCATAATCGGATTCAGGGGTAAATTTCATATATGAAAAGACAATAAAATGCTATAGGTCAGAACATTTTCTTAAATTTGTAAAGTGTGATCTAAACTTTTGTGACACCTACTTTTATGATACACCTTACAGTTTGGCTGACAAATGTAAAAAACCAATTTATGTGACCTTTGACCTCGAATAAATTTTTTGCGGATGTGGAATCGACGGGACCTCTTTACATTTCATTTATAAAGGCGTTTCCAACATTCGTACCAAATTTCAGCTCAATGCGAATTATTGTAGCTAACTTAACTGGGCTAAAATATATTTTTTTGTTTTATTTTAAATCTCTTAAAAAACAAAAATAACATAAATTCTAAATACATCAAAATATCTTTAAAATAAAATTTAGCCATAAAAATATGGCCTTTTTGAAAAACAGGAACATCAGCCATAGCATCGAATAGATATATAATTATATTAAAATACCAATTAAAATTCGAATTAGAATGAAAAAATTTTCGATTTGTGAGAATCGAAAATTTTGGAGTAATTTTTCGATAGTGTATGAAACACTTAATTTTGATGATATCGACAAATAAAAAAAACGTGTGCGCTTATTTTCCGAGTAGAATAATATACTAAAATTTCAAGTGATTCGAAGAGATAGGTGCTGTCAGCTTGAATGATTTGAGATGGGATTGGTCATATATAAATAGTTGGTAACCTTCATTAAGATATTTTTTTTAAGCCATTTCAGTCCTGTTTATTAGATACCAAATTTGTTTAATTTGGATGAGCGGTTTGTTAATTATTAAGAAGGGACTTTTATTTCGGTCTTGCAAAATATTTGGCCAAGTTTAACTGTTACTACTGGACTATAAAAATAAAAATCCGGATTATTTTAGGTATTATTGGACTTTTTCCTAAAAAGTTAAAAAAAATAATCCAGCATTTTTGTCCAGGAGGCCCTGGGATCAAAGAACATTGATATCTTTCTTTTACGGCAATATTTTGCGAAGGACTTTTATAACATCGAAAAAAATAATGGTTATTTTCAGTCCCTGATAAGGAATCCCGAGTGCATTTCGATCGATACGAAAATATGCATTTTTGCAGTTTGCATTTATCACAGTTTCTGAACGTAAAGAAACTCTCCGGATAATATTTTCACGATCAAAAATCCAGATTAGAAAAGATGGAAGGATTTGAAGCTTACTGAAAGAATAAGCGTAATAACCAGGGAACGGATTTTATGGAAATTGCCTTTTTTTCTACTAAAGAGATAGAGTATATTCGATTAAGAATGTCCACGATTTAGCTTTCCTTTATTCCATATATACACATTTGATGTTGCCTTTTTTGCCTTTTTTAAGATATTTGCCTTTTTTTTGCCTTTTCTACCTTTAAAAAAGTGATTATAGCATTTACAATTTTTTTGTAAACATTAAAAAATATACACATGCCCATGCGGCTTATAGAAGCGCAGGGACCTCTTGCCAAATTGATGTTGGAAAAATTCAAAGCCGTTTTCTCAGCTAACGTAGGCTTGGAGACAATAAGGGGTGTGGATAAAATTGTAAAGGGCGAGGAGAACGCCCTTATTCCTGATAATATGAACGTTTCAAATGTTCCATATTTAAATTGGGCTCCACTTGTATCAACTTACGTCGAGCGCACATTTAGTACATTCAATGCTTTCCTTCGCGAAAATCGAATGACAATGCTGCCAGAAAACTTCAAAATGCATCTTGTGGTTCAATGTTACTACAACTATACAGATTAAAGTTTTATGAGTTAGAAACTCGAAAGGATAAAATCTGTGTTCGTATGGAACAGTAGCTTATGTCGAAAGGCTGGCTTTAGTATAATGCGGCATTCCCTTTGTTCTTTAAACGACAACGAATTTTTTGATGAGACTTAATAAGAATATTGATTTGCTAGTATCGGAACTATTTCTTGCGCGTTTATTAGCCAAAAGTTCTTCAACGGCTCAGCGCCAATGAGTCATTCCCAATCGTATGCTGCGAATGCCAATTTATACTAAAGCCAGCCTTTCGATATAAGCTTCTTTTCCATACGAACACAGAAATAGTCAAAGATTCAAAGTACAAATTTTTCATATAATGAAACTAGTTCATAGTTTTTCTCTTTTTACTTGTAATATAAATATTTCTAAAATAAATGTATTTTTTGATTGTTCTTCGTATTTTTTGCTTTTTTTTATTGCCTTATTTTGCTTTTTTTGCAATACGTAGTGCCTTTTCCTGCCTTTTTCGCTATTTTGTTTTGCCTTTTTTTGCCTTTTTTGCAATACCTAGTGCCTTTTCCTGCCTTTTTTGCAATACCTAGTGCCTTTTTCTGCATTTGTCGCTATTTTATTTTGCCTTTTTTTATAGGGTTTTAGGTCCTAAAAATCCGTTCCCTGGTAATAACCAACGGTATTTTTGGAAGATAATGGGTCGATTATGGATGTCAACTCAACCGCAGTTGGGTTGCAGATGGGCAACGCGACTGAAATGAAAATTTATATTATGAATAGCAACTGTAGTTAAGTTCTATAAAGTTGAAGGTAATACAATTTTGAAAAAATAGGAACTAAGACTTGAGTGTAAATAAGTTGAAGAAAGAGTTGAGAAAAGAAATAAATTATCTCAATCAAGATTTCTGCGGCTACC